CCAACCTCCCGGGAAGGAAGAGGGGCTGGAGACTGAATTCAATCACCAATGGCCAGTGATTTAATCAACTCTGCCTGTATAATGAAGCCTCCCATAAAACCCCAAAAGGACAGGGTTCAGAGAGCTCCAGGTTGGTGAAGGTTGGGAAATGAGGGGAGGATGGGAGGGCTGGGAGAGGGCATGACACTCCCGGCCCTTCCCTTAACCTGGCCCTGTGCATCTCTTCCATCCAGCTGTTCAGAAGTTCTCTCCTTTTATAATAAGCTGAAAAGAAAAGTGAAAGTCGCTCAGTCATGTCTGACTCTTTGCGACCTCATGGACTGTTCATGGAGTTCTCTAGTACTTGCCAGAATACTGGAGTGGGTAGCCTTTCCTTTTTCCAGGGGAATCTTCCCAACCCAGGGATCGAAACCAGGTCTCCCACATTGCAGGCGGATTCTTTACCAGCTGAGCCACAAGAAAAGCCCAAGAATACTGGAGTGGGGAGCCTATTGCTTCTCCAGCAGATCCTCCCAACCCAGGAATCGAACCAGGGTCTCCTGCAATGGAGGCAGCTTCTTTACCAACTGAGCTATGAGGGAAGCCAATAGCTCAGAACTCAAACCAGTGGAGATGCTATGTGTGGCAGGAGTGACTCATAGCACACTGCTCAGGAGGAGGAAGAGATCATTAGTTACCCAGCAGCAAGCCTGAAGTCTCGTGCATCTCTTAATAAGCTGGCATCTAGTAAAATGTTCCCTGAGTTCTGTGAGCCAGTACAGCAAATTAATGGGCCCTAGGGAAGAGGTCACTGGAACCTCTGATCTACAGCCAGTTGGTCAGAAGCACAGGTGACAACCTGGATGCGGGACTGGGGTCTGCTGGGGAGGGGGCGTGGGGTGGGAAAGTCGGCAGACCCAGGCCTTAAGCTGTGGGATGTACCTAGAGACAGTGTCAGAACTGAGATAAGTGGCTTAGTGATGTGGAAAAAAATACATCAGAATTGATGTCAGAACCGTACCAACCTATATGCCTTCCTTTAAAATTAGGCCTCATTACAGACCTTTCTAGGTGGCCACATTCATTTCATTTTAAAATTCATTTAGTTCTCCCACTTGCCCTCTCACTATGTTCATTACTGATGTGCAGTTAGAGTTCTGCCATTTAAAACTTTCCACTCCTCTTATATCATCTCTCCTTTAGAACTCTGTTCACAACGTTCTTTTTTTTTCCTCTGAACCTTTTGAAATTTGCCTTTCTCGCATCTACAGACTGTAAGTGTGGCCGTAACACACAAGAGTAGGGAGAGAGTTGCATTTCTCTCTTCCAGGGCTGCTTCCTTTCAGTTCTGACACCAAGGGGGAGGTTTGCTGTTAGCTGCATGAGACTTCCAGCTGACTGCCGGATAACCAACGATCTCTTCCTCCTCCTGAGCAGTGTGTTACAAGTGACTCCTGCTGACACACAGCGTTACCACTGGTTTGAGTTCTGAGCCCAATGTAACTACAAGGTGAAGACTTCATACACCTGCCACCAGACTGTGGGCTGGGGTGGGAAGACAAGGCAGAAAGATCTTTAAGTTGAATGCTTGGTTTCAGTGGAAGAGGAGGAAGATGCCAAGACATGCGGAAAACAGACTCCACATCCTCCTGGCTGCTCAGGGAGCCTGGCAGGGAAGGAGGTTCCACTAGAGAGACGCAGGGCATTGGAATGGAAAGGGTGACTTACAAAAGGATGTGTCATGGATAAGGAGGAGGGATGGATAAAAATGTCTGCAGCCAGAAAAAGGTAATCTAGGAAAACTATCTGATGATGTTCTATCCTCACCAAGTGACAGTGACCACAAACAGAAGAATGGTAATACAAAAAAAAAAAAGATTTTAAATTGATAATAGGGGATGGTTAAGTAAATTATGATATATACAGAGTAGAATTTAACAGAACTATCTAAAGTCACCTTATAAATTTATGCCAATGAAAACACTGCACAATTTACTAAGTTCAAAGGCAGGTTATAAAACAGTATCTTCTGTGAGACCCAATTTCTGTTAAAAAGACACACATACAAACCTCTGGTATACTGCTTCTTAAACTGATATGTATGCAAATCTGCCTATTAACTAAATCCAGGAGTCTGGTTAAAATTCTGATTCTAATTCAGTAGGTTGAGTGAAGAGGTTTGAAATCCTGCATTTCTAACAAGGTCCTGGGTGCTGTTGGTGGTTTTATCCACCACATGTCATAGCAAGGATATACAGCAGGGTATTAGCAGTGAGGTTTAATGGGTGATGAGACTTTAGTTTTCTTCTTCTCTTGTATCTGGCTGCTAACTAACTTGGATTACAGAAGGAAAATTAATGGACAAGTATCTTTCTTTATGTTATGAAAAGACAAAATTCACCTACTTTAAAAACAGAAAAAAAGGTGAAGCAAACCATGTGGTCACGAGAAATATAATAAAACTGCGAGAAGGAGCCTCTATAAAATTCACGCAAAGAAGGAAATGTGCATGCCTGAGAAAGGCTGGAGAGGGGGACAAGGGGAAGTGAGGACACTCTGACAACAACTCTGTAAGAATTCTAGAGCCACAGGACAGCGAGACAAGAAAACAGAATTGTTGGGATCTGTGATCTAAACACACACTTTACATGGAAAGAAAAAGGGGAGCAGCAATAAGACAGGCACCGCCCTGCCCTGCCGGGCGCAGGAGGCCTTGCCAGGTGCACACGGGAGAGGAGAGCTTGTTCTGCCCTCTCCAGTCTGAAGGACATTCTCTATAAGGAGCGACAGGTGAAATCTGGGCGCAACTAGAAAGCTAATAGGCTGCAGAAAGGCAGGTCAGAGGTTATGCCTAAAGCCAGAATACGTTAGAGCTGAGTGACTCCCAGGAAGGCAGGCATGAAGGAACCACAGGACCACGTGTGTGGTTGGACAGAGCAGGGTACCTTATCTCACGGGGCTTGGGCAGCAGAACACGTGTCCCCAGAAGGCTGCAGAGAGCAGCGTTTCTTTTCTACAAAAGGTCCAGCCTGAGTCAGACCCCCAAGAAGGCATTTAAACTGTCTTTGGTGGCGACAGCAGAAGTGACAGGGGTGGATGGTTATCTCTGTTATTTGGCCCAAAATACCAAGTGACAAATCACAGACCTCACAAGGCATTGGCTATCAGCACAGGTGGGGAGGAAATTCAGGTGCTCCGATTCCTTAACCCACACCAGGGCTGATCTGAGACCGCAGAGAAAGGCGCAGATGTCACGTGCTCTTTATTATTGGTGACTATTAACTGCTCTCTGACACTGACACGCAAACAGATGTCAAAGTCATAAAGTGGTATTCACGCCATCAGAGTTAACCAGAGTCCCCAAAAAACGTGGCGGAGAGCTAGCCATCCAGGCCAGAGTCTGCCCTCTGCTGGATATGACTGTGATGATTAGGATAAAAGGGAGGAAAAAGAAATTTCAGGAACAGAGAGAGATCCTGCTACTTCCAAGACCCCATGCACATTATGCGGAGACATGGGAATTCACAGGGCGGTTAGTGGATGGAGAGGTATAATCTCCACATACACAATATTTAATGATCTCTGAAAAGCAAACCACTAACTGCCACCAAGAGCAACGCACTACAGTTCACAGCCTTCAACCCTTTCACTCTCTTTCAACCCTTTCGAGGGTTTTCCCCTGTATCCATTTTTCCTCTTCCATTCACAGAGAAATAAGAAACATTTTCTAGTGAAACCTAGTTAGGGAGCTAACTAGGTTAGCTAAGTTAAGCAAGTGAGAAGTACTGGTTCATCCTATGAGGGGCTGAAGAGCCCCAGGAGGACAGGCAGGTGGGTCCCTCACCTCCTGCTCCCAGCTCATCCCAAGCTGGCTACATCTCCCCACACATCATCATGTTTCACTCACACTCTTATTAAACCAAGTACACCTGTGATAGTGTGATATAAGAAAGATCTACCTAGTCTTCACCCTCCTCCCCTGTTTCTGGCATGAGAGCTTTTAAAACACCTCGAATTTATAACTGATGTGGTGAGGGTAGCATCTCTTGTTAAATAAAGTCATGTCTACTTGTGGGCGAGTAAACTTAAGACAATGGACTGCTGGCAGATTCTACAGAATAAGGGACAAAGCTATCCTAAAATACTGACTGTTACTATTCCTTCTTCATCCTATATCCTAGAATTTCTTTCAATAGTCTTGAGGGTCACTTTAATTTCTCAGGTCTCAGGATAAGAAATTGTCAGTGAAAGTGATCTGGAATGAATCCCAACTGCTTTTCTCAGAAAGTAAATTGAGTGTGAAACATGCCACATGCAAGGTCAGTGCCCCTCAACCATCGTACTCCAGGAGTGCAAACATCAGCTAAGATCAGGGGCCTCCCCAGTCTGCGTCCAGCCCTGACCCCCACCCTGATGACGCTGATCTAAATGGCCCCACACTCTCTGTCCTCCTCACCGCCTCCTGACTTGCTTTTCTTGATCAAATGCCTTCCCGCTCTAAGACTTGCTAGTTCTACAGAGGCTACTGACTAGAGTCTAAATTCTCCGGCTCTATCAAAAACCCCAAGAGTTTGGTCCTCACATAATCTGCCAACCTAATCCTTCACTCTCTGCCTTCCTCTCTGTCCTCAGCCACACCTACTTACATACTGTCCCCCAAAATCACAGGCCCAGGCTGGCCCAAGACCTTTGTTTAGGTTGCTCCCTCTGCCTGGATTCCTTCTCCCTCCATACCTGCCAGTCTTCTTCCAGTTCCATCCCCTCTAAGAAGGACCCAGGAGGCTCTCCTATCCTCCTGCGGGCGGTCCCTCCCTCCCAGCCTCACTTATTGACTGATACGCTTCTGTCGGCTATCTAGGAGATTGATCTAGATAAATAAATAAATGTTCATCTCCCCTACAAACCTCCAGTGCTCTCCAGAGAGCTGGGAAGACAGCAGATCTGACCTGAGGGTGAGGGGAGGGGACAGACATATGTCAACAGCCCTGCCCACATGGAACTCGGGACTCCTGCATACTTACGGTTTCCACAGTTGAGACCACCAAGGCCGAATGGGCAACTGCAAGTTGACAGAAAAAAAGAACGAGAATTAGTTTCAAATATCAAAAGAAATTACTGAGGCAATTTACCTACATAACTTCTAAATAAGGTTTGGAACAAATTCATCAGAATAAATGAACATGCTACCTACCTCATACAGGTTTCATTTTCAAGCCTATATCCATCTTCACAAGCTGAAAGAGAACATGAAAATCCATGATCGTGTCTATTAACTTCTCTTGGCCCAACTGATGGTTAATAAAACCAGCCACCCTAAAGTTCACAAGAATATTCTAGAACCAAAAGGCTACAAAATAGCTTTGTTGTGGGTTATTTAGTTGCTGAGTCATGTCTGACTGCAACCTTATGGACCGTAGCCCACCAGGCTCCTCTGTCCATGAGATTTTCCAGGCAATAATACTGGTGTGGGTTGCCATTTCCTTATCCAGAGGATCTTCCTGACCCAGGGATCGAACCTGTGTCTCCTGCATTGGCAGGTGGATTCCTCACCACAGAGCCACCTGGGAATCCCACAAATAACTTTAGAATTATCTAAAACCTGGCCTAAATACTGTTGCCAGCTCAACCTTTAATTTTATCAAAAAGACCCCAGAAACTTAACCTCTTAGTGATGCTAGCTTCTCAGCTATAAAAAAAAAAGGATAATAATTTTTTTTTTATAGTTGCTTGGAGGGGATTAAGGAAAATAAGGCATGCAAATGACTCACCATAGCTCCTAGCATACAGTAACCACTAACTGTAATTGTAATTATTATTTAACATTTGCAATTATTTTTGCAAGTTCCCTGTGGTCCCTGAGTAACTTCCTTCTATAAACGCAAAGACAAATGCCTCACCTTCTTTAATGTAAGTCAAACCTTCTTTAACCTGCCATTGGCTCCATCAGCGGCCTTCCCTCAGGAAGTGAGAGCTGCGACACCTTCAGAGCCATGGTCCTGGTGGTTGCCTCAGTTCCCATAAGAGAACGCTCACCCTGTAGTCTGTGTAGTGGATTCTGGACATTCCTAGCTGAGCCCTAATCAGCACATCGCACAAGACTATAGCTCTGAACCCTCTGGCTCTGCAGCTCCTGCACTGATCTGATCATAGAACATTTTCAGCACTACAATAAGCTGATAGAACATCACGAGCTGTAACATGTGCTTGAATGAAAGTAGATAATAAAAAATAGCCTCTCAGATAAATTCATTGCTGCAAGGAATGACAGAAATTTGACTCATGGTTAATGTATGATATACACGGCACACAAGAATCCCAGTTAGGTAAAGGTACATAGCATAGAGCAGTAATCTCTAGGCAGACAGCACACACACTGATGGCAACACTTGAGTGCCAGCAGCACATGGCTCAGAGGCTGCAGGCCCCACAGATCTGGAGAGCTCTCACAGGCTCCCCGCATCCTCCTTCAAGAACCAGTGCATAATAACATTTAACCACGTGGGCTTCCCAGGTGGTGCTAGTGTTAAAGAACCTGCCTGCCAATGCAGGAGACAAGAGACTAGGGCTCGATTCCTGGATATGGAAGATCCCCTGGAGAAGCGCAAGGCAACCCATTCCAGTATTCTTGCCTGGAGAATCCCACGGACAGAGGAGACTGGTGGGGCTACAATCCACAGGGTCGCAAAGAGTCGGACACAACTGCAGTGACTTGGCACGCACACATGTAGATATGCTTGATGATGTTCTATTTTTAAATGTTAGACACTAAATGATTCTAGCATCTATTTTATTGTCAATGACTGTTGACATACCACTTGAGTCTTGCAGAATGGTGTGGGAAATACTGTGCTAAATAACCTAAATTCTCTCACAGCAGATCATGAGAGCTGTGAGCCTGCACTGCAATGTTTCAGCTCCCCGGGATTCACTTCTCCTGAGCTACACTCTATTTATTAAAGGCAATCTATTACTAGCAGCAGCCCCAGGCATGGCCTAGGGTATTTATCACAGGCAATCATGGATCACATTGCCACAATACCACTCAGTAACCTCATGATGTGGACTTCCCAGAGAAACTTCTCTTGGGTCCCAGGACCTATAAAAATTGGGATGGTCCTTTATTTTATGGTCACTATATATATTTTTTTCAAAATCATGTTTCTCTCTTTACCGTAGTGTCCCAGATGCTCAGAACTTGAGCGCCTATCTTTACCAAACAAGTGAGAACTTAGGGTATATCTTTTAGTATGTTCACATTCCTTCTAGCCTCAATAAAGTAGTCATTGTATTTCTCCTTCAACCTTATTTACCTTTTAAATTAAATCTCATTTTGTTACAGTGAATTTTCATTAGATGCTTCAAATCATTTTTGCAACAAGGTGGAGTACGATCATGCCCCATTTCAGGAAGGAGGAACCAGGCCCCGGTCCCAAACCTTTGATGACTTTGAGCAGGCCTCACGTAGGCGGGGTGGGGGTGTGTCACTCAGTTGTGTCTGACTCTTTGCAACCCCATGGACTATAGCCCACCAGGCTCCTCAGTCCAAGGAATTCTTCAGGCAGGAATACTGGAGTGGGCAGCCATTCTCTTTTCGAGAGCATCTTTCCCACCCAGGGATCAAACCCGAGTCTCTTATGTCTTCTGCATTTCAGGCAGATTCTTTACCATCTGAGCCACCAGGGAAGCCCCTATGCAGGTGGGACCTTCTAAGGAACAAGCAGAGCACTCCTGCCTCCCTGGAGTGGAAGTGCCATGCCTGGCAGTCCCCACACTACAGCTGGGTCACAGGAGCAGGGAAGGCTGCCCTTGGGTGACCCTCGGCTCCAACTGCAGGGCAGCCACACGGACTGCAGGTGCCCCAGTGACTCATCCCCACCCATCTCAGCCCCAAGGCAGGCTGAGGTCACACTAGTCTGTTCTATTCTGAACATTTCTTCCTGGAAATGTTTTTACATCAGATCTACCCACCCAACCCTCATTTGCTGGGTAGGAGTTTTCCACGCCGAGGCTGTCATCCACCCAGATGAAAGGTCCATGTGTTGTCCTGCCTGTGAGCTGATGGGCTGGGCTGTTTTCACGTAGCTTCAGAAGTGGCTGGCTTCCTGGTATAATGATATTTCCATAGTTCAGATGGACTCATTCAATCATTCATCAAAAACCGACTGCTACCATGGGCTGCTCTCGGGCTCTGGGAGGGAAGCCTTGTCACAGGGCACTCCAGTGGGCCTGAAGACCCAGCTCCTCATCTCCATACCCTAGAGGGACCCTGACCCACACAGCACTGAAGGTGAAATGAATGTGGCAGTACTCATATGTGCCCAAAGTGGGCTCCCCCTATTGATATGAACATAAGCAAATTCAGGCCTTCTGGCCTTTTAAAATAAAATCAGCACATGGTGGAATCTTTAAGGCTTTTTTGCTCCCTTGCAGGAAACCGAATCAATACCTGCCAAACTTGTCATATCACACTGGCTGCCTATTATCCATTTGTTCCTTCAACGGACATTTGTGGAACCCTACAATGTACAAACATATTCTACAGACAGGCACCCACTTCCCTGGTAGCTCAGAAGGGAAAGAATCTGCCTGCAATGCAAGAGATGTGGGTTCAATCCCTGGGTTGGGAAGATTCCCTGGAGAAGGGAAAGGCTACTCACTCCAGTATTCTTGCCTGGAGAATCCCATAGAAGAGCGCTGAGCAGCGCTGTGAGCTTCACACATCAGCCTAGACTTCACTGCGAAGTGTTGGTCACTTAGTCGTGTCCGACTCTTTGGGACCACAGGGACTGCAGCCTGCCAGGCTCCTCTATCCAAGTATCTGCAGTCCAGTCAGAGGAAGAGACTTGCTAACAGGTGGTTGGGATTCATCAGGACATCTGCATGATGGAAGGAAGCTAAAAGACATCCATGGGGAGGACACCTACTTTAATTTTACATGATGCTTTGAAAGTCTGGTGAAGACATTTTATGTGAGATAGTAGGAAGTGTGTTTATGTGTGTGTGTGTGTGTGTGTGTGTGTGTGTACAACAAAAAACAATATGCAGTTGCTAATATGCAACTGTTAATTGTAGAGATTTAGAAAACACACACCCACATGCCTTTATCCTCAATTTACACCAGGGATTTACCCAGATTTGAGGTGTCTTAAGAGTATTTCTTTTAACCATCCCTGTTGCTCCAACACCAATGGCCAGAAGATGTCACTGTAACCCCTCAGAACCCAGCCATGGGTCTGTGACCCAAGGAGCTCCAGGATCATCATGGAGCCCTGATGGTCATGGATGAAAATCTAACCAACAGGATGCCGCAGAAACCAGGCTGAGTAGGGCCTTGGCTGTAAGCCCAAGAGCTAACCACGGCTTCCTTATTCCGATTCTTGGGTCACTACTTAATACACATAACTTTGCTGGTGCCTGTGTCGCTGCGTCTGGTAAATCTTCGGCAGCTCTGCTACTGCTGACGCTAGTCTGCAGGTGACACAATTAGGAAATTGCGGGCTTGCCAAGAGAGGTAAATGACTTGGGCCAGTCAGAAACAGAGGTGGCAGGGCTACTCTTGAGACCAGCTGAAATTGCACAGGCCCTGTGTACAGAAGCCACCGCTCCTCGGCCCCCCAGGGGCCACACAGCCCCCAGCTGTGGATGTCAGCAGAGGCCACCGGCCCGCCCGAAGTGGGCTCGGTGCCCCAGTTAAGACAGGCCAGGAGCACTCTGCATGAAACGAGGTAAGAAGCAACTAGGAAGCAGCAGCTCCACATCAAAGTGATAAGACTGACGGGGTGCTGAGCGTGCCCTGAGCTTCAGCATCAGGCCCGCTGCCCCGCAGAGTGGGCCCTCCTCTTCAAACCCCGCCCAGGATTGCATGCAGAGCCAAGACGGTGCACTTTTAAAGTGCCTAAGTCAGAGGGTCCGAAGCTCAGGATACCGCATTGCTCTGAGATGCATTTTTATCCTCTCCTCTAACAGGAAGTCCTGACCGAAATGAGTGGCATGTCACCCTTCCCTAGGACACCATCTTTACTCGATTCCGGTGCATCTGCCACTGGCAGGTGTTGGCCGAGCAGGAAAACTGGGCCACACACGTTCTCATGTGATGCGAGGCCTAAGGCTGCATGACACCTTTATGCTGCCAGCTTTCCTGTGACTGTGAATTGCAGCAGGCTTTTATAAGTCAGGGTATCCAGTGCTCTGGATTTTAATTCATTTTATTTTAAAGCAGTATTCATGCACTGTATTCACTGAACAGCTGATATCTGAAACTGGATGAATTTAATCCTCACCCAAGAGGTTAGCAGAATCAGGTTTCTGACAAAATCTTTAAAACCAGAACCCACTGGTTCAACAATAACCTGGGTAAAACACAAGAGCAAATGCTGATGGCTTACAAAGTACTTCCATAACCACTGCCTGTTTAATTCCTAGAATATCTGATGATGTCTCACTGCACCCATTGCACAGAAGAGGGAACTCAGGCTCAGCCAAGCAAAGTGACTTGCCTGAGATGATAGAGGATGGGTAGGCAGAAGAGGGTTCTGACTCAGGTCTCCCAAGCTGCCAGCTACTGCTAAAGGGTACACTCCTGCCTTCATGCTGGTATTTCCATTTTAAAAGATTAGCAGACAATAGAATAAAGCTTTAGGAATTAAAACAGTAATTTTTCTAACTTCCTCTAAGTAGGAAAAAAAAGAAAAGGCCTGGCCACCTCAGGCATTCCATTCTCTTCTTTTCCTTTGAATCTGATTGGCCAGACCAGTGCGCACCAGTCAGAGATAATGCTATTATTCCAAGGAGATAACATATTCAACCCTGCTGGGAGCCAAACAACCAGGACCAGTTACCCCCAGATTAGAACAGTCACCCCCAGAGCAGAGAGAAGCCCCTCCCCCATCCCTCGGGCCCCGGGCCCCAGACCTGCCGCTACCTCGACAGGAGTGGTCCATCTTGTTGAACTGGAAGTAACCGGACTTGCACTGGCACAGCGCGACCCCGTCCAGATCGGTGCAGATGGAGGTCTCCTTGTCACATTCTGGAGTCTTCCGCTTGCACAAGCTGCCCGCTGAAATGGAAAAACAAGACAGTGAAACAAAACAAAACCTCCTCCATGTCAAACATTAAGATGCATGCACTTTCTATTTCAAGAGGCTCAGAGAAGAGTTTCCAAAAGAGCCTGCGTGGAGCACACTCCTCTCAGGGTGCCCTTCTGCGCTGCCTTCTTCCACTCCTTCCCCGGGGCTGGCCCAGCCTGTTACCAAGTTTATGCAGCGTGCCACAGGGAAAAAGCAAACCCAGAAGAAATGGGGTGCCATCCCCAACTCCAGCGTCCCCTGCAAACACAGCCCCCAATAGGTGGGGTCCTCTGCATCTTCTCACTCAAGGGCTGTAGTGGAGAACCAGTACAAACCCAGAAACCATGCCCCTGCCCTCTCAGAGAAGACCTGTCTCAGTCCGCTGCTGCTGAGCAGACTTGAGAAGAGGTGTGGAATGTAATCTGGATATCTGTACTCCATCACTGTCCGCCTCCCCACTATGCCTGGGGCTGGCTCAGCTCTGGGTGGTCAGCGGGGCTGGTCCACACTCAGGCTTGACACACACATGCTGAAGGAGGCACTCGACAACCGGTTACTGGGCCGAGAGGACTCTTCTCTGCTCTGCTTCCTTCACTTTAGAGCCTCAGTTCTTCCATGTGTGCATATCCACCTGGCTTTGTCCAGCCCTGGGCATGTGGGCCATGCTCATTTCAAGGATGACAAAGAACTCTTTCATGATCATCAAAGAGCATTCACTGTGGCACGTGTGGCCCTCTCTGAGGTTGCACACAGTGAATCCTTGCTTGGGTTGTATATAGCAGGTCCTCTGTGAGGTTGTAAACAGCAGGCCCTCTCTGAGGCTGTAAACAGTGAACCCTTTCTAGGGTTGAATGGGTTGTAATATAGCAGACCCTCACGAGGCATTAAACAGCAGGCCCTTTCTGAGGTTGTATACAGCGGACACAATGAGAGTGCTTTTACCATCTAAGATTGGACTGAACAAAATTGGGATTTACAGACAACAGAACAGAAATATAAATCAAGGGATAGTAGAGAGCATCTTATTTACACCATTTACAGACTGATGTACACCATTGTTTTCGGTGGGTGTGAACAAGTTCAGGGTGAGGCTAGAGCTAAGGAATGGCCACGAGTGTACACCAGGCAGTGAGGTTTGGGCTCCCGTCTCCCACCTTAAGGAAAATGCCAACTGCTTTAAAAACCCAGACCAGGTGCCTGCTCTTCACGCAGCAAAACTGCACCCCCTCCCAACCTCAGGCAGGTTCGTGTGACAGGAACAGACACCCACCCAGGGACCCTGGCATCCACCCCCTTGTCTGAGTCCTGAGGGCCAGGGGCCTATGGGTGGCTTGCTCACAGGGAGGTTAGTTTAGGACACAGCTTCAGCTCTCAGTGCTGAATTTCCTGTCTTTATCAGTGGAAGCTGGCGTGCTAAATCAGAACCCTATTTGTGTGTGTGATAGAATTTCCTTTGTTTATTGTGAAAGGTTTGTATTTAAGGGAGAAAAATGAAAAATGGAAAATCTCACCAAGCAAACTGTGAAGCTGGCACAGAGGGCGTACTAAAAGGCCACAATCTCTCATCTAAACTTTTTGAAGTCTTAATATAAAGAAGTACCTCCAGCACAAAAGGCCGTCCAGGCCAGTACTAGTTTGTGCGGCAGCCAGTCTGAGCTGCCTGGCCTGATTAGATATTTTCTGGAAGCCAATGTCACGTTTTCCCTCTGCCCTGCCCACAAAACCTGCCTGCGGGCAAATACCACTCGCCTTGCTGAAGTGACTCTGCCCTGAATTGAAGCAGATTCCCTCGAAGGCAGGGGAAGCTGGCCCTGCCTTTGTGACGGAGGTGTTGCTGTCCTCCAGATTCTTAATATTTTGTCATCAATCCATCAAACGGAACCACATATAATGCAGTTTTCATTTTAAGCCTGGTGATGTGATTTTTCTGCATCCACAATTCCCATGGTCCTTCCTGGGCATAACATCCGCCAAACAGACAATGAGAACTGATGTAAATCTAAGGCTGGGGCACTCCTCTGGGGGATTTCCAAGGACTCGAAACCTCTGGAGAGATGAGAGCTACAGTTCTTTGAAAGGTGAGGAAGTAGATGTTTTGTGAATTGAAAGGGAAAATCCCTCCCATCCAATGGCAGCATCCAGAGTAGCCCATGACTTCTCATATGCTGGGAACAAACAGAGGTCAGAACCTGACCGCTTCGTCTCATCCAGCCTGACTCTAGCACTCAGAGAGGTGAGTGAGACACCAAACACGTGCTGGCAAAACCTGGAGAAGCCCTGGGAGGAAAACAGAGAAGTGAGGTCGGGTTCAGCCAGGAGGCACTCGGGCTCGGAAGGCAGAGTCAAAGAATGGGCACCAGCCCCTGCGTGGGCAGGAATATATATGGGAAATCTCTATATCTTCCTCTCAATTTTTCTATGAAACTAACGCTGTTCTAAAATCTTTTTTAAGTTTTTAAAAAATAAAAAGCATGGGACTTTGGCAAGGAAGCAAGGGAAGACAGGAGCTTTCCCATAAGCAGCTGGAAGAAGGAGGGTCAGAGAATGGGCAGGGCAGCCATTGGCAGGGCCTTACAAACCCAAATATCTAGCCACTTGATTGGCAAGACATGAAATGTGTTTACTAAAGACAAAACAGTAACCTGTTTTGACCATGCAGAACACACAGCGTACGTGTTTTATGAACTGAAAGGTGCCCTTTCCCCTTTCTGGGAAGGAAAAATCGGGACCTTTGCATCACTGGCAAGAAAAAGAAAGCCAAATCAAAGAGTTCCTGCCTCAAAAGGTAGAGCACAGTATGAGGGGGCAGGAACTTTTGAGCCAATTCCCCAATGAAGCTGAATGATAGCAACTTCAACTCCAGAATGTTGGGCTCTTTCTTTTTCCTTCAAGTGAATAACTGGCCCTGAAATGGGCCAAAGCTCTAGCATTTATAGAGCTTTGGCCAGCTCTACAGAGCACAGTCCACAAGGAGGGCTTTCAGGACCAGCTCTTACAAAGCTCTGGCCCACCGGGAAGGTCCAGGATCTGCTCACAGACAGAGCGCCAAACCTGCTACTTACAGTTGAGATCCAGCATCTGGGCACCAGATGGGGAGGCTGACTCTGACTCTGTACCCCTCACCAGTCCTGTGTGTAGTAAACTGAGCCAACCAGAGCCAGCTCAGGCCACTTATGAGACGCAGCGGGGGCAGGCCCCCCTGCATGAGGAAGCACTTTTGATTCCAGCAGAGTTTTCCCATCTCAGAGGTGAAACCTCCCTTCCAAGACCCAAATTTGCCTTCCAAACTTGTTTCTAATCCCTTTATTCATCTGTTTCACACCAGATGCTCTGTAGAAGCTTTTGACAAAAACAGATAAAGAACAAAAAAAGAGAAATCACGGACGGCACCATGAGCTGTCTGGCTTCTAATCTTTATCTTGTTTCTGCGCATTTAGAATCTGCAAACAAATCACAGGAGGATGGGAGACACTGCATATGCTTTATTTACCTAATGGCATGTCATGATGAAGGTTTCGGGCCATTGACAAGTGTTGTACATTCTGTGTGTGAATTCTACCTCCCTAGAGGGAGGGAGCCTTTCAAGCGAAAGAAGAGTGATTTCTGCTTCATTACATCTGCTCCTATATCCCTTCCAATACCAACACTGTAGAGAAACAGAAACAGCATGCCAAGGACTGAGAGACTTCAAGGCTGTGTGTGCAGGATTATGTGTGTGTGTGTGTGTATGCATATGTGGGTCAGTGCACGTGTACACAAAGATATACACACACAAAGCCCTTGTGGTTAATGCCTATTTCAGAGACAGGCCAGCTCTATGACAAGTTTCTTGGACCTGCACCCAGAAGGCCTTACACTTCTACCCTAGGTCTGTGCCTAACTGGACGGGGGGTCCTCGCAGAGGGCCCCTCTCTTACCTCTAAAGATCCGCCTCTGAGACCCTAAGAGCTGGCAGACCTCAGCAGAGGCCAGGCAGGAGTTGACGCATTTCTGCATCCTGTCGGCCAGGTCAAACAGCGTCACGTTGGAGGCCAGAGAGAAGGTGGCTTGCAGTGACATCATCACAACACTGGACTCCCTATAGGCAAAGTATGCATGTTTTAATTGTCCTAAACTGATATGTGGGTCCCAGGATTTTTGGAAAATGAGTGTCCTCCCCATTCTCCAGTGAGGGCCTGGGAGAGTATGACAGTTCCGTGACCTTGGCCTGGGATCACCCCTCGTAGCCTACAATGAGCTGACCTAACTCACAGATAGGTCCTCTTCCAAAAGGCTCTCCATGAGAAATTACATTACAGCCAAAATAGGGGCCAGTTTTGTTGCCATCACACTTGTTAGAATATCCTCCCCTTTCTATAGACTGGTCCACAAACAAGCACATATAATTCTGCTACTTACCTAGAAACATGAGCTGTGGATCGGGTATAACCAGGTAATGTTGAGAAACACACATTTAACTGAAAGGAAGAAGTTTATCATTAACTGTGAGTCAGACAAAAAAGCCTTGAACCTAGAACCAATTTCCTATTTTCAAGATCAAACAGGCATTTTCCAGTCATCGAGTTATCAGCAGGCAGCCTCATACAGGAGTGGTGTCCTTTTTTTTTGTTCCTTTCTTAAATGCCTTTCTACTCTTATTCTGTTGTTCCATGAGCACAAAGGGAGAGAGGCAGATAGTAAATCAGTGGGGGGAAATCTTGGCAGGAAATGATGTTCAGAAAAGCACCCTTGGATGCAAAACATCTTCAAAGGAGCAGATCTTGTCTAAGACCCAGGGTTTCAAAAAACCTCAGAGGCAACTGTTTATTTGGACTTTGTATAGTGAACAAGACTTCCTGAAAAGGCTGGGTTCCTTTCAGCTCCCTCAGGTCTGGCAGGCCTTACACAGACCCTTCATAATCTACAATGAGTTGACCTAACTCACAGATAGGTCCTCTTCAAAAAGGCTCTCCATGGGAAATTACATTACACGGGTCAAGAGCCCTTTAGTTGAGAGCAAATTAAGAGTGACTCCCTGTGTTTGCCTTGTGTCCTTGGAAAGAGCAGAAAATCCCTGTGAGGCATGATGTACCATGCCTGCTTAGCCACTCCGCCCATAACATGAACTGGGGCTTGGGGCTTCCTTTCGTGCAGCTGAGGGTCTCAATACCTTGACCAATGCAACCTACCTATCTTCAGTGCCTGTGTGTCAGACATATCTCATCCTTCACAAGATGGATTCAGACACAGGATGCTGTCAAACCCTTTTTGTCTTTGTATTAACATTGATTTATATTCATAAGGCAATGATTTATTATTATTAAACTTTCTTTTTCCCCAGGAAAAAACAGAAATAGCACATTTCAGAACAGAACAGCATCTTGGGAAAGGCCATTTAGTCTCTAGTCATAGCCTAAATCTTCGTTATTTCTTGGGGATGGGGATGTCACATCACTAATAAATTATATGTTGATACTGGATGTGTGTGCATGTGTGCTGTTGCTTCAGACATGTCCCATTCTTTGCGACCCTATAGACTGCAGCCCACCAGGTTCCTCTGTCCGTGGGATTTTCCAGGCAATACTGGAATGGGTTGCCATGCCTGGGTTGCCCACTAATCAAACCTATGTCTCCTGCATCTCCTGCACTGACAGGTGGATTCTTAACCACCGAGCCACCAGGGAAGCTGGTTGATATTGGGTAAAACTGAGCAAAGCAGATGGGTCACTGAGGACCGTGTAATGGGAAGGACTGTATCTCTGCAGGAGGTTCTCAGCCCCTGTACTATCTTAGAAGGAGTACTGACCTACAGCCCAACAAAGAGGCAGCTGCAGTGGGGTGCCAAGAACATTCACTATAGGGTTAGTAGACATAAAACCCTGCCATTTAGTAAAGAATTTGACCTTACCCAAAGAGAGGTCTGGCCCTTGACTCCTGGAAGGTAATCTCTAATCCTTTGGAATGTCCTGCCTTTGTAGACCTGGAGGCCCTGGCCACTGCAGATAGTCTAACAGTATGGATTTATGCTGGGGGTTTTGAGTTACAAGGTACCAGCTGGACCTCCAGAGGGGCTAGAGACTCAGGTCAGGCTTATAGGCAACTATCTTGTTTTGGCTCCAGACACCAAGGCTCGGTGAGTCTGCCTGGTTGGCGATGCTCCATGAATACTGTATACGTCATTGCCGAGAGGAGTTAACCCTGTCGATGACCTCACAGAGAAAGGACGACTGGAATGAATTTGAAACCCTCCTGGACGCTGCCCCATGCATCTTCTCTTCCCTTGGCTGTTACCTGAATCTTTCCACTATAATAAACCCTAATCTTGAATTTAACAGCTTTCAGGGAGATTTCTGAGTACTTCTAGTACATTATCAAAACTGAGGGTCTCGTGGAGATCCCTGAACTTACAATTGGTATCAGAAGTGACAGTGGTCTAGTGGATTGTTTCCTAACTTTGCACCCGCTCTGTGTAAACTCAGGCAATGTCATTAACTTCCAGGGCCCTCCAGGTTTTCACCTCTAAAGGTGTTGGCAATACCTCTTACAGGAGGCAAAGTGCATGTCACAGAGTAGATGTTCATAGAGAAAGGGAACTGGAATCTAATTTTTACACAAATCAAACCCATGGTCTTATAAAATCTTATAGGTTTTGGCTAAAATACTCTTACCCACAAATAACAAGTAAAATTAAAATCAGAAATCAATCTATAAAACTTATTTTAATGGCAAATTTCAAGTTTCTGAGCATTAACTCTTAGACCCTGGTAGCAGCTGAGAAGCAAAATACTGTCTGAGCTTCATTTCTGACTCTTCTCCCTTCCTCTCCATTTTTACTTTTTTCCTGACAAAAAGGAGGCAAGGAGGGAAAAAAGAATCAAAGGCCCCCAGATAATCCATTCAGTGAATTCTCAACCCTGGATAATGGGATTAATTTCCACCTTTGCCATTCCCTTGAGAAAAAGCATCATTCTCCCCAAGTTCTGAGACACACACAAAAAAGTCACATAGCAGGTCAACAGCAGATGGGACAGCAGGATTCTCTAGGTCTTTCCTCTTTACCAACAGCTCTTACTGGTACATGTCACCTAAGTGTGTGACATGGAGAAGAAATAAATGCCAAGGCATTGATAAAAGCAGTTCAGGAAGACACATTAGAAGAAATGCTTATACCAGCATCACTAGTTCTCAACACCTCCCTACTATTTCTGAGAGGCCTTTAATTTTACCCTGACATTCGCCTTTCAAATATGATAGAAATAAACAGTCCGGGAGATACAGGTGATCCTCAGGAGGTTCCCACTCTGAATAAAATCTGTTCTAGAAGACAAAGGACTAGCAGGGAGATGCCTCTTGGGAAACTTACCATTTCGGTGATCTCATTTTCAACTTCACGGAGGTCTGAATGTTTTTCCATGGTGGTATTAAGAAATGTTTTCTTTAGTTTAAACTCTGTCACAAAGGTTCTAACTGAAAATGAAAACATAACCTGTTAGACCTCACAAGGTCAACCTGCACAAGTGTGAGCATCTATAAATCTCAGGGCAGCCAGCTTTCCTCCACCTCCCAGGATGCTCTCCAAACATTTTTTTCTCCTGGAGGGTGGAGACCACCTCGCCCTCCTCAGGGTTCCTCTAGCAACGTGAGCACCTACTCAGTTGAGCTGAAAGCTCAGACTGAGCAGACCTTTGGGAGAGAGGCTAAAGGAGCCTTTAGCCTACATAAGCACGAGCCTTCCTCACCTCTCCAATGAGCTCTCACATCTTAGATGCTCAGTGAAGCTGTGACAGAGAAGAGGTGAGCTAAGGAAACAGTTTAAGGAGGAGGCAAGGGAGACCTGGGGCTGGAAAGACTTGTCAACCCCTATAAAGCTTCGGATGAAGGAAAGTTCTTGCTTTCTAGGTCTTTTATCAAGTTAGTTAGCAAGCCCTAACTTCAAGGGTGTGCTCTGATTTCCTCTTCTTATTAGTCACCTCTATCCAATCCCTATTCTTCTTGCTCAGAGGAAATGTCTGTTCTATCATTGATAAAAGAGCCTTCCAGAAGCTGGGTTACTTCCCAGGATCACCCAGCTCCCAAGGGCCAAAATTAACATTTAACATCATGTACGTCCATCTTCCAAGGTCTTCTTCCCCCTAAACCCGCAGCCCCCTGAGGAATCTGACAGTCTAAGGACAACCAAGTGGCTGCAGAGAAAGGTGTCAAACATCTGAAGCAGGACCCCACTGCAGGGAGCCACCAGACTCCATGATTATAAGCTGCACATGAAAACAACCCATATTCAAGATACCATTGGGTTCAGACACAAAAGGATGTAGCCCCATTTTCCAAGGTCCATTTCACTCCTAAAATAAAATTCTAGTTAACATCAATCTGTGCTGATTGGGCCTGAGAGGAATGGAACTTACAAATGGGTAGGCAATCAAAAATTAGGGTAGCCTGCCTTATATCTGGTTCTTATCTTCCTTTAGATTATATTCTTATCTCTCCCTCTGGACAAGAAAAAAAAAAAATCTCAACACAGAAACCCATGAAGCTGCTCTTTCACAGAAAGCTTGCCTGCTGAATTAAGAAGGCGGCCCACAAATGAGCCAGGGAAAACATTTAACATCTTATACTTACTGTCTAAAGCCCTTAATCCTTATTTAACATCTTTTTGCTTGTTCTACAGTTCAGTGAAGCCAGCTGCTTAGGACTCTTTCTGAGCAGCAGGGAGCTCTTTGAAAACATTCTTGGCCAAATGAAAGCGTTTCAGCACGCTCTAATTTGCATGTTCCTCTGATGCTTATGAACAATGAAGCTAAATGACTTGAAAAGGGAAAGATGATTGTTAACACAGTAAGCAGCTCTCCTCCTGATCCATGGTGCCTGTGGGACACTCCACACACAGGCTTCCAGAATAGTCCCCCCACTCCTACATCCTCAGGTCTAGGTCTGCACCCAAACTCTCTGTGCAGAAACACACATATGGTAACTGGCAAGTACAGATCTCTTCTGAATCAGGGCAGTAAACATGGCCTCTGCATCCGTGTGAATATGAATAAGGCTACACAGTGTCCCCCAGGCAGAGTCACACCAGTTACATCATCTGGCTTTAGGGCAATTTTTTCACTGGTAATTTAGATGTTATCTAAATGATTCTTAAAAGATCCATAATTATTGCTCTGTATTCAGAGTAGTTTATCACTTTCACTGCTTTCAGTTCTGGTCCAAGAGATTAGAAACCTAATGTCAAAGGATACCTCCCATCTGAAGAATCCTACCACTTTCCAAGCTTGCTCAAATGTATTATTTATTTTGATCTTCATAATATCCTTGAGTGGGAAGCAGAGCAGGTGGTAATCTGGTTTTACAGATGAGGAAATTGAGGCTCAGGGAGTCAATGTGCTGTACATGCTGACCCTGGAACTGGAAGCCTGGCATTTGAGTCTCTGGGCAAGTATACTTTTCCATACTGTTTCAAAATAAAATCATTTCTGTCTCCATTCTTAAACGGAAGCTCCTCACTTATTTCTTACAGGGTGCGGCTAAATGGAATACGTTACGAGGATGTCTTGACTTTGACTGATGTCTATATTCTCAGATTTTTCTTCCTTAAAAATAACACTTTGACTTGATTCCTGTATTTTAAACAATTTTCAAATTTGACCCTTATTTTAGTAGGGTACAAGCTGTTGAAATACATTTCTAGCCCCAAAATGGAGCTATACCTGCCTGGGGTGCCACATCAGCAAGTCCAACTTTCAAGTTCCTAAAAATGCTCCCCTTGATTAGTAATGCAGCGCATCAGTCAGCCCATCCTCAATAGTGAAGCCAACTCTAGGCTCTATACTTCTTTCTAAATAAAGCCAGATATGCAACCCCAGATAATCATGCCCTGTTTCCCCATTGCTGCTTCTATGTTCTATAAAACTCAGCTCAGTTCAGTTCAGTTGCTCAGTCATGTCCAACTCTTTGCAACCCCATGAACTGCAGCATGCCAGGCTTCCCTGTCCATCACCAACTCCCAGAGCTTGCTCAAACTCAAGTCCATTGAGTCAGTGATGCCATCCAGCCATCTAATCCTTTGTCGTCTTCTTCTCCTCCTGCCTTCAATCTTTCCCAGTATCAGGGTCTTTTCAAATGAGTCAGCTCTTCACATCAGGTGGCCAAACTATTCGAGCTTCAGCTTCAGCATCAGTCCTTCCAATGAATATTCATGAATGATTTCCTTTAGGATTGATTGGTTGGATCTCCTTGCAGTCCAAGGGACTCTCAAGAGTCTTCTTCAACACCACAGTCCAAAAGCATCAATTCTTTGGTGCTCAGTTTTCTTTATGGTCCAACTCTCACATCCACACATGACTACTGGAAAAACCATAGCTTTGACTAGACAGAGCTTTGTTGGCAAAGTAATGCCTCTGCTTTTTAATATGCTATCTAGGTTGGTCATAGCTTTTCTTCCAAGGAGCAAGCCATCTTTTAATTTAATGGCTACAATCACCATCTGCAGTGATTTTGGAGCCCAGAAAAATAAAGTCTGTCAGTGTTTCCATTTTTTCCCCATCTATTTGCCATGAAGTGATGGGACCAGATGCCATGATCTTAGTTTTCAAAATGTTGAGTTTTAAGCCAACTTTTTCACTTTCATCAAGAGGTCCTTTAGTTCCTCTTCACTTTCTGTCATAAGGGTGGTTGCCATCTGCATATCTGAGGTTATTGATATTTCTCCTGGCAATCTTGATTTCAGTTTGTTCATCCAGTCCAGCATTTCTCATGATGTACTCTGCATATAAGTTAAACAATAAGAGTGACAATATACAGCCTTGACATACTCCTTTCCCGATTTGGAACCAGTCTATTGTTCCATGTCCAGTTCTAACTGTTACTTCTTGACCTGCATACAGATTTCTCAGGAGGCAGGTCAGGTGGTCTGGTACTCCTATCTCTTTCAGAATTTTCCACAGTTTGTTGTGATCCACACAGTCAAAGGCTTTGGTGTAGTCAATAAAGCAGAAGATGTTTTCTGGAACTCTCTTGCTTTTTCAATGATCCAATGGATGTTGGCAATTTGATCTCTGGTTCCTCTGCCTTTTCTAAACCCAGCTTGAACATCTGGAAGTTCATGGTTCATGTACTATTGAAGCCTGGCTTGAAGAATTTTGAGCATTACTTTGCTAGCATGTGAGATGAGTACAATTGTGCAATAGTTTGAACATTCTTTGCCATTGCCTTTCTTTGGGACTGAATGAAAACTGACCTTTTCCAGTCTTGTGGCCACTGTTCAGTTTTCCAAATTTCCTGGCATATTGAGTGCAGCACTTTAACACTCAGTAAAACTCACTCTTGCCCAAAATGGCTCCAAATGAGTGTTCCTCCCATGGTTTGTGAGGCCCTGTACTTCCCCAGCCCATGAATTGCTTTCCCTTTAATAAAGGACATCAAACTCGTTACCAAATTGTTTTAGTTTTGTCATTTGACACCACCTTCTTAAAAGTCTTGATGATCCTCCTCAGCCCATGGGCAGTAGAAGTCATGCAAATAACAATTTCAAAGGATACAGACATTTGTTCTCTCAAAAAAACACTTACTAAGAACTTTTTCTGTGTTAAATACCACAGTAAGAGATTTAAGATGATTCCAAGTTGTGTCACTGTACCTGACAGTTTGCTTATCCATCTTAGATAACCCCGTTCCTCACTTCTAATTTCTTCTAGTTCTTCATTGAACTTGGCATTCTAACACAGGTTACACACCCTGGGTGCAAGAAAGTTCTTAGGACAAACACAGTCTTGTGTGATGGAAGAACTGTGGGCTGCAAACCTGGCCTCTCACAAAGCAGTTACAGAAGCTGGGCCACTAGTTACTTTGTCAGGGCCTTAGTTTTCATTTGGGTTGTTTGCTTTTTAACCTGTATAATGGAGATTATATCTAAAACCAACCAGTTTCATGGACTCTATTAAATTCAAGGTCAAAATGTGACAAATTATATGATACAATTTTGGCAGTAGCTTTTTAAAAATGTATCTACCTATGGACAAGAACATGAAGATAGTTTTTAAAAATGAAAAGTATGTGCAAATATGGTAGGACAATCAGGGTTTTATTCTCTTTTTTCCTCTCCCTAATTTTTTTCTTTTTTTTTTACTCTTTGGTTGAACTATCCTTTTGATCTTTTTTCCCCCTAACTGTAGGGTAGAATGTTAAGCAAATAGTGTTTGCATAAATGATGGCATATTTAGGCAGTCACTACAAAGTTTGTATAATATTTTTAATAACATGAAAAATGTTTAAGATACAAAGTTTGTAAAAATACCATATGACTTCCAACTGTATAAAAATATAATGTACACTAAAAAAAGACTGCAAATAAAGTGCTATGTCTCTGAGTGGTGGAATAATAGTGTCTTCTACTCCTCCTATATTCCTTCAATTTATACCTTGGGCAAATATTGATTTTGATTAGGGAGAAAAATAATAAATGTTATTTTGCAAAATACATTGTAGTGCAAAGAAAATTCCAAGACAGATGAACTCTCTTACCCAAATTGCATATCCCTTTTTCCAGCTGGTACCCCACTGGGCATCTGCAGGTGAAGGATCCCTGAGTATTGTTGCACGTGGCTAGGGGTGGGCAGGGGTTTGAGAGGCATTCGTTCACATCTGTGGAGGAGGGAACACAGGACCACAGTGAATCTGCAGCAGTCAGCACACTCATAATCTGGTATAAGGAGCACTTCTAAGGGCCAAATGGCACTGGGTGTGGAGAGGAGCAGAAACCAGTGGACACCACACTTGTTCTCAAGGGGCTACCAGTCTACTGAGGGTGGGGGCAGCCAGGGGTGCAAATAAACATAAATATAAGGCAGGATTTGAAAGTACAGAGAAAGTAAGGTAATTACTTTGATGGGAGAGAGAATTAAGGACTGTTTCAAATAACATCTGGACAAAGACTGGAAGGACTTTAATAAGCAGATGTGGGTAGGGGGATGCTAGGCTGAAGCACCAGCACAGCAAAGGTCAGGGCAGTAAATTGTGGGAGTTTTCAGGGAGTCGTGGGTGGTCCAGGAATGCAGAGTCCACAGAAGGCAGCCAGATCATGGGGGCCTGTCAATGTCACTGTCTGACATTACTCTGCAGACAATGCATAAGCACGCTAACCCTCAAGTAAGCAGGGTATGAATTTAAAAACCTTACTGCCCTATGTTTTGGAGGAAAAAGGAGTCTATTGCCTGCCTCAGTGTGGCACTATATTACAGACCAGCGCAGACGACTCTTCTTCTTACCCACACTGCAGTTGTCCCCGTGCCAGGAAGGTGAGCACATACATCGGTACCCACGACGTGTGGTGGGATCCACAACGCACTTCCCGTCATGAAGACAAGGGTGAGTGGTGCAGCTATCAACTGAAAACACATTTCCAGAATAGAGCAGTTAATCACACAGCAAAGGTAAAAAAGCAGCTCTAGGTAAATATTTAATTCTCCCAGCTAATATTTGATTCTTGCTTATTTCTGTGTACTTGCCCTGAAAAGGCCGTACTACAAAACAGAATGGGTTCCCGGAGGTGCAGTAGAGAAGCATGGGGACTGGATGCCGGCACCGGCTGTGTACACACAGGCGTATTAAACAGCTGGATCCCTGAATACAGGCGCTGGTTCAAATCCGAATGCTGCTTACAGATTCCTGAGCTTGGAAATGATGACATTGCCTTGGGATACTTAACAAATTCTACTTGAAGCAATGCCTATTTAAAACACACCTTAAGGGGGAAATGACACCTGATCAACTATCCTCCCTGCTCCAAGTTTTCTCTTTTCCAAAGATCTCACACTGTAAATGGGTCTCCAAATAACTGTGCAGTCATTCAGAAAAAAGCCTGCAAGTGAGCACTCTCTTCACACACTGTGACCATGAGCCCATCTGACTCAGCCAGGCCCTGATGAGGCACAGGCTCCACTGTCCTCTTGGACTCCCGGCTCCCAGGGGCAGTGACCACACTCTCTGTTTTGGTCTCTATAACTGGCCTTGTCACACTCCAGTTATACTATAACTGCCTAATAAAGGTTTTTGACACACACTGAGAAAAGTCAAAACTCATAACAGAAGGAGAAAAGTCATCTCCAAGGAGAAAAGTCAGTGGTAGAATGAGAAAAAGAAGACAAAAATCGAGCATTCTAGCTCCAGAATTACCCTGAAGACAAACAGGCTAAACCTGAAGATGGTGTCCTTGCTCCTCATGGCTACTTCAAATATACCTAAACGTGTGCATAGCACCTATATATCCAAACACTGCACCCACAGGCTCTGTCACAAAAGACATAGCAACAGCCAGTGACAATCCTCCTAATACTGCTACAGTTACCACTGCAGGGGCTGTAGTCGGCCTTAAGGGTCACTTGTGAATTATGTTCTATCTAATATTGGAATATACTTGGCATCTGGAAATGAAGCCTGTGAGTCCTGAAGCAGGATTGCAAACTCGCCAGAAGCAGCAGCCAGCTTCCATCTCCTAGTGGCACTCAGACCACTGGCATGAAGTGGGCACTGATATATCAGGGCTCTCGGGGCTGTGTGGGCTGCGGGGCTTGTGGCTGGACCACGAGCTGGATGATGGCTGCCTACTTGGACCTGCCTCCAGTGCCCTCCCCTTCTTCCCTCCTCCCTTCAGTCTCCATTTCACATTTTTATCAACAGCAGTTTTCCTTGCCTGAGTCTAGACAAACTAAGTATCCAGCAAATTTTGGCCCTGACATCAAAGGATGTCATCCTACTCCCTGCTACCTGTACTTAGGTGACAGTGACAAAGAATCACGTGGATGGCTTTATTTCTCTTGTCCCAGCAACTTAAACATGGATAGAGAGATACATAACCTCAAGCGCAACGTCACACAGTCACTATAGGAAAGGTCAGTTCATCATCTTCTCATTGAACATGTCCCTTCACCCCTATTTATCAGCCGGCGCCATAGACTTAGGGAAATCTCAGGGGATCAAGAGATGCTTCCCCGGTGACTGCGGCACCGGCTGACCAACTCAGAAGCTTGGGATTCTGATCTGGAAGCAGGCACTTGCTCACTCTGTGTCTTAGACAGGTCATATAAAGCTTCTTGACTCCAGTTTCCCACCCTTCAGTCTCACTTCGCTGCCCCACTCTGGCCTTGTTAAAGGCATGCTTGAAAAGGTCATGCAATTACAGGGCATTACAATCTACTAACTACTAGTGTCAACATGACCAATGGCATCTTCTCCTGTCTGCCCTCTGTAACTCAGGAGTGAGAAAGGGGGAGAAAATGGTCACTGGGGCATTCTTTCCTGCTTTTCAACAGAAAGCATTGAGATCACACCAGAGACCCGCACAGTCCTCAGCATGTGTCCACAGTCGTGTCCTACCTGTGGCTGGAGACGATGGTGCTATGGGTGGCTGGGTGCTGCTCTGGGCCGTGGAGGTGGTCGATGGAGGAGTTAACACCTTAGCTGTAGAGATAGGCGTGGTTCCGGGGGGAGGAGATGTTTTGAGGAAAGATGAAGCCAGGCTGTCCTCTTCTGTAGGGCCAGGCTCTGTTGTGGATTCTTCGGTCAGGGGGAACAATCTGGTGGCAGCATCTCTATGCACTGGGCTCCCTTCTGTGGTGACAGCACCTTTTGTTGTGACTTGGACCACGAGAATTTCAGGACTGGTTGGCGAGAGCTGAACCACTGTCTGTACTGTTTCTCCGGCCACTGTCTGTACTGTCGTGGGGCCACCCGTCAGAGCTGCTGTGCTTGACAGGACGCTAGGGCTGGCCTCAGGAGGATGAGAGGTCTTGAGAGTGGTGGCTGCCAAAGCTGGAGACGTGTGGGCTAAGCCGGTGCTCGTGGCCGGAAGGGCCTGCTCAGTGTCTGTAGAAGCGGAGTAGTCTGTGAAGGCCAGGGGTGAAGGGCTCCCCAGAGTAGACATCACTGTTATAGCTTCCGTGGCCGCCGCAGGCAGAGTCTGCAGGCTTGGTGGCTCTGGTTCTGTGACGATGTTCTCGAGGTATGGGTTACTCTGGTTCTTAGGATCTGCTGTTTGACTGCTAGGCAGCAGTGGCACAGACGATGCGACTGCTGACGTCCGAACTGAAGTCACGGGAGCATCCCTTGCCCTGGGCAGGACTGGGGTAAAAGGTGCAGGTGGGAGGGCTGTCTGTGAGTCAGGCGACGCGGGGGCAGACGCCATCAGGGACCCTGACGAGGGTGGTGGTGAGGAGGACAAAGGAGTGGGTGCATCAGGGGTGGATGGCAGGGGATGGGTGGAGGCCCCGGCAGATGGCAAGGTTAACGAGAAGAGCTGGTAGGACCGTGACACCGAAGGCAGGGGCAGGGGCGGCTCCGATGAAGATGATAACGCATCACCAACAGATTTAGCGTCGGCATCCGGAGGGACCAGAGTGGCCGGCACATTAAGGGTGGGTGTGTTAGACGGAGAGTTGGCCGAGGGCAGGACCAGCACCTCAGTGGAAGGCTGAACATGTTCTCCTTGGTGGGATGAGATGTTACTCCTCTCGGTCTGAGCCTGAGAAGAGGAAGAAGAGTCTGAACTCAAAGAGCTTGAGATCTTAACGGAAGAGGTCGAAGTCTCCCTTCCATCCAAGGATGAACTGTTGTCCGTAATGGACAGTAGGGTCCGTTCCCCTTTGGTGAAAGGAGATGAAGCACAGGTGTAGTTTGTGTGCTCACTGGAGGTCCTGCAATCAGGATCTGTGCTGCTGACTCCATCGTAGCCAATCCCAGTGACTGCCAAGGGAAAACTACAGTTAGGCCAATCAGACAGGCATCTGTGAACCTACACTCTGAGACAGACTTTCAGTGTCCGGCCCACGCACTGCCCTCCGGGGGAGAGACACTTTCCCTGGAGAGACTGTACAGGGAGGCAGGCAGGGTTTGAATGGACCTGCCCTCCTGTGAAGAGCGTAGTGGCAGCACTGGAAACGGTAATAAAAGAGAAGTGGGGCCCCATATAATAGGGAACAGGTCCAAATTCCTTCCACAGGCCTTTTTTTTTGATAAAAGCAAATTAGTATCTGAAAAGCTCTTAAGACCCCAAATAGAACAATTGTTGTGCCTAAATGGAAAAAGGAAAACCCTCCCAACTTTCCATTCTGTATAATGAGATATTTCTTTCCCAGGAGACTGGCCTCAGCCACAACCCGGCTGGGCTCCTTGATTGCAAGCATCCTGGCTGACAACAGTGCCAATGTCTCGGGTAAGCGTGGGGGGGGGGGAGGTGGGAGAACCCAGACAGTGCTCTTCACAGGGAGCTGGTAAGCCACTTTCTGGGCTGACAGCAAACTCATTCTAGAAAGTGAAAGTAAAAATGTCATGTCAGACATGTCAGTCAGTCATATCTGACACTTTGTGACTCCATGGACTGTAGCCCGCTGGGCTCCTCTGTCCATGGAATTCTCCAGGCAAGAATACTGGAGTGGGTTGCCAATACCTTCTCTCAGGGATCTTCCCGACCCAGGGATGGAACCCAAGTCTCCTGCATTGCAGGCAGATTCTTTACCATCTGAGCCACCAGGGAAGCCAAAATCATCCTAACACCACAAGCAAACTGACAGATATGCTGAGGGAACATGCAAAGAGATCCTGCCTATCACCTCCATGCCCTCCGAAGGTCCTTGTGGCCGCCAGTGAACCCAAGACTGGGCGGGCGTCCCCGGTCACCGTCATGTTCCCCTGCTGCGTGGCACTCTCCATTTCTCCAGCTGTCGCCACTGATCGCTCCACATCCCTGGGAGTTGTGCTACTGTTGGTGAGAGATCGCAGTGTGCGCTCCCCAACTCCAGAGGACGTAGCCAAAGTGTGCGGGCTGTGAATGCGGACTCCAGGCGCTCCCCAGGAAGCCCCCTCCTCAGCTTCGGTACCAACATCCAGCTCAGGACTGTCTTCGGTGGCTACAAGAGGATAGGAAAGGGGAGGGCTGGTCAGTGAGGTGTACAGTGGGGCTGTGTGAGCCACAATGCTGTCCTCCGCCTTCTCAGGGTCTTTGTCTGAAACTGACAAGGTGAAAACCCAACATGTGTGTCTTTCCTGCTAACATAGCAGTGACTGAAACCTCCAGAGGCAGTGCGGGATCAGCACTGCTGTTCAAGTGACTTGGATTTATGATAAGGTTCATTACTCCAGTGAACAGGATCGATACAATATTTCTGCTTGGTGATACATAATAAATAGTGTTTACGTCAGGGAAATTGGTGGTGGCGGCAGGGGGAGTGAAAGTCGCTCAGCCATGTCCGACCCTTTGCGACCCCATGGACGATACAGTCCACGGGCTTCTCCAGGCCAAAATACTGGAGTGGGTAGCCTTTCCCTTCTCCAGGGGATCTTCCCAACCCATGGATGGAACCCATGTCTCCCATATTGCACGCAGATTCTTTACCAGCTGAGCCACCAGGAAACACCTAAGTGAACGAAAAACTAACAACCCTGCAGGAGCTTTCCACCTGACAAGACCAGGGAGGGAGGCTGGTATTACCCCAAAGGCTTTTACCTCCAGGTGGGACCAGCGATAGCTGATGGACACAGGGCCTGCCATTCTACAGTGTCTGTTATTCCACACTGTAGCTCTTCACCCGAGCACCTCAGTGAGAAATGGCATCATGGTTAGAGGTTACAAGTGGGCTTGGTTGTTTTTTTTCTTGGTGGGGACCGAATAGGAATATGTGACACATGAATAAATATCCTTTTCTTTTTTTCTTGGGTATATATTTTATGCTATAAACTTAAAGAATCTTAGATTATTACCAAATAAATCCTTCTTTTCAGAAATGAGGGAAATGAGGACCAATTTTTCTTAGCCTAACTGCTTCATAAGCTGGATCTAGTGAGAAAAACAGGCTCTTTTCTGATTCTTATTCCAATTCCCAAGTCAGTCTAGTCTTTGAGAGACCTACCTTGTTGGAAAATGGATGTAAAGCTGAGTGTGAGGTCAGTTCACTTCATGATGCTGGTGCTAAATGGCTTCAGTTGTATCCAACTCTTTGCAACCCCATGGACTATGGCCCCCCAGGCTCCTCTGTCCATGGGATTCTCTAGGCAAGAATACTGGAGTGGGTTGCAGTGCCCTCCTCCAGGGGCTCTTTCCAACCCAGGGATTGAATCTGCATCTCTTACACCTCTTGCAAAGGTAGGTGGGATCTTTACCACTAGTGCCACCTGGAAAGCCCTCACTTCATGACAGGTTTGTGTTAACTGACCGGCAGGGATGAACATGCACACAGGCATACACAGGGAGCACCAGGAAAGCCAGGACCTGGCCGCAGATGTGATCTGACCCTCGCGGGGGGACTTAAAAGAGACCCACGCAAAGTCCACCAGGAGAAGCTGGAGAGCTGAGCATACCTGACCATAAATTCCCTGACACAGAGGACAGGCCTGCGATGATGCCACACAAAATGTAGGCCAACCACCCGCCTTAGGCTGACAGACTTAACACAGGGGGCAGTCATGCCCTGAAACATGGGCTACATCTGAACCCAGAGGAAGGGATGAATCAAGAAATCTGAAAGCTGTATGACAGAAGCTGTGAGCTGTGGGTGATTCCAAGGAAAAGAGAGAAAGCTTTATGTTAACCCAGAGCAGGTGGTTTCAGGAACACGGCTCTTCCTTATCTGGTGCCTCAGAACCCCATGTGCCACTCACACTGAGGTCACATTGTCCACACACACCAACTGCACCCTGACTGCAGAGTGTAGGGTACTGAAGAGATGGAAGAGGGAAATTCTATGGGATGTTAGCTCCAGGCCTGCGAAGGCAAAACTTCTCAGACCACAGGGGCAGGGCAGAAAAGGATACCTTGTGTTTAAGTGACAGAAAGAGTGTGTTTTCCATGCCTGGACATAAAACAGCACAGTCTCCACCCACAAATGTGGTATTCTTTACAACAAAGCATATGCTTTTCCATATCACATCAGTAGTAAATAACAAATGCTGATTTTCCTCATTAATTAGAGAACTCATAGCAGGGAAAAGAGCTGCCACTGTTAATGGTGGAGAGGTAAGAATTCAAACCTATTATAAGCTTAAATGATAAGTTACTGCATTTTTGGTTTATCAACATACAATTTACATTGATAAGGCTGATGAGAATTGTTTTTAAAATATTTTTCAAAAACATTCTTAAAAAGGAACATCAAAGGAAAAGTTTTCTCAAAGCAACAGGCTAGAATTCATCAAAATTAAAAAATTTGTGCTGTCCATGGGATAACAGCAAGAAAGTTAAAAGACAACCCATAGAATAAGAGAAAAAGACTGCAAATCATCTTTCTGATGAAGGACAAGTATCCAGAATATACAAAGAACTCTCACAACTCAATTAAAGAAAGATAAACAACCCAATTTAAAAAGGGTCAAAAGATCTAAACATACGTTTCCAAAGACGATATACAAATGGTCCATGAGCACATGAAAAGATGCTCACCATCATTAGTCATCTGGGAAAACTGCAATCCAATACCACATAAGATGCCACTTAACCTCCACTAGGATTGCTGTTACTGTTGCTCAACTGCTAAGTCATGTTCAACTCTTTGCAACCCCATGAACTGCAGCATACCAGGCGCCCTTCCTTCACTATCTCCTGGAGTTTCCTCAAATTCACATCCATTGAGTCGGTGATGTTATCTAACCACCTCATCATCTGCTGCCCCCTTCTTCTTTTGCCCTCAATCTTTCCCAGCATCAGGGTCTTTTCCAATGAGTCAGCTCACTAGACTCAAAAGAGCTCAACAACAACAAGTGGTGTTAAAGGTGCTTAGAAACTAAAATCCTCCTACTTTGCTGGTGGGAATACAAAATGGTGCAGTCACTCTGGAAAACAGTTTGGTAGTTCCTCAAAGGTCAGAAACAGAGCTACCATCTAACCTGGCAATTCCAAGGCAATTCCAAGAAAACATATGTGCACACAAAAACATATACTTGAATGTTCACAAGAGTACTACTCATCATAACCAAAAGGTAGGAACAACCCATATACCCAATAACTGATAAAAGTATAAATTAAAATGTGGCACATCCATACAATGGAATAGTATTTGGCAATACAAAGGAATGAAGCACTGACACATGCTACAACATGGATGAACCTTGAAAACCTGATGCTAAGTGAAAAACACAAAAGACCACACATTTTATGGTTCCATTTATAAACACCTCGATATGCAGATGACACCACCCTTATGGCAGAAAGTGAAGAGGAACTAAAAAGCCTCTTGATGAAAGTGAAAGTAGAGAGTGAAAAAGTTGGCTTAAAGCTCAACATTCAGAAAACTAAGATCATGGCATCTGGTCCCATCACTTCATGGGAAATAGATGGGGAAACAGTGGCTGACTTTATTTTGGGGGGCTCCAGAATCACTGCAGATGGTGATTGCAGCCATGAAATTTAAAGATGCTTACTCCTTGGAAGGAAAGTTATGACCGACCTAGATATCATATTAAAAAGCAGTGACAGAGGGAGGAGCCAAGATGGCGGAGGAATAGGACGGGGAGACCACTTTCTCTCCTACAAATTCATCGAAAGAACATTTGAATGCTGAGCAAATTTCACAAAACAACTTCTGATCGCTAGCAGAGGACATCAGGCACCCAGAAAAGCAGCCCATTGTCTTCGAAGGGAGGTAGGACAAAATATAAAGGATAGAAAGGGAGTCAAAAGAGCTACGGACGGAGACCCGTCCCGGGAAGGGAGTCTTAATAGAGGAAGTTTCCAATCACCAGGAAACCCTCGCACTGGCGGGACTGGGGGAAGTTTTCAGCAATCTAACTGGGAGGAAAAATTAAACAAGGCCCACAGATTACGTGCCTAAAAGCAACTCCCAGAAGAAAAGTACCCCAGACGCCCGTACCCGCCAGCAACAAGCGGGGGTGGGACGGAGAGGAGCGGGCGGCATTGCTTAGGGTAAGGACTGGCCCGAAGACCCTGAGAACAATCGGAGGGAGCTTTTTTAAACTGTGGGATAGCAAGGGTCAAAATTAACAGGCCCGAACACACTGCCGGCGGTTGGCAAAACAAAGGGACTGAGAAAGTCCAGAGAAGAGCCGGCCCATCCCCGCTGGAGGTTGGAGGCAGGGGGGAGGGGAAAAGGGCAAACTCAGCCCCAGAGAAGCCACCCCCTCCCACACTGCAAACAGGCCCCCGGTTCCTATCTAAAGACTTCTGAGACCCGACTGGCGGTGCGCGCTGGGGCCGCGGAGGGAAAAAGCGCGCCGTACCCGGGGAGATTGCGCCCAAGCCTCTGGCTGCCTGAGCTGCCCGCCGCGGAGGGAAAAGGCGCGCTGCACCCAGCGAGAGTACGCCCAAGCCTCTGGCTGCCTGAGCCGCTCACCGCGGAGGGACAAGGCGCGCCGCATCTGGGAGAGTGCGCCCAAGCCTCTGGCTGCCTGGGCCGATTAACGCGGAGGGAAAAGGCGCGCCGCACGCAGGGAGAGTACGCCCAAGCCTCTGGCTGCCTGAACCGCTGAGGCCGGGGAAGGCACAAAACGCAGACGCAACCGAATCTGCGCTTTTGTGGAATACCCGAAAACTGGAACCGCACTCAACGCAGGGCCCGCTCCATATAGAGCAGCCGGGAGCCTGAGCAGTGTAGACGGCGAAAGCACTGACACCCGTGAGCGGGGCAAACCCAGTGTGACCGGAACACGGTGAGTGCTGTCCACACAGAGCGGTATCTGTCTGCAGCGCCCCGCCCTCCCCGTAGAAGGACTGAACTGAACTGGCGAACCTAAATAAGAGATCACCTCCACCCGCCTGTGTCAGGGCGGAAATTAGACACCGAAGAGACGGCAAACAGGAAGAGACGGCAAACAGAAGCCAAATAAACAAAGGGAACCGCTTCAGAAAGGACCGGTGCAACAGATTAAAATCCCTGAAGGTAACACCGACTACACCAGAAGG